ATTGGGGACGGAATCTCGTCAACTCGCTCGCCTCCATTGATCTACTAGATCTAGATCTAGATCTATACGATGATCTCTAAAAGTAAACAAAAAGAAGTTTATTTTTATTTGGGTCGAAATATTAAAAAATCTTTGAAACTACAAATCAAAACCACTAATTGAAATTCTATATTAAAATAATTATTAAAGTAATTTGTTTTGATATGTTATAAAAAAAATTGCATTTCAGTTTTAAAATTTTAATTCGTTTTGAGTGTATTGGACTGAAACATATTGGATTTATTTCAACGAAATCTAAAAAATAATAACTTTCAGTCATTGCTATTTCCAAATAAATTTTGTTAGCTCAATGTCAAAATGGCGTCCGCAGCAGCCAAAATAGGGTCTCACCTGAAAGAGTTGAGGTTTCATTTGTGTCTAAAATCTGCTTCTAGTAAAGGAGTAAGGTAAAATATTTTGCTTTATCTAGATCTAGATATCTAGATCTAGATCTAGACCTATCATAAACCGGTAATCTATCGTTTTAGCGTAATCAATTCAGCTGCAGTAGTAATGTGCGGGAGAAGTAACTGAGTAACTGGTGATTACTACTAAACTACTAGATCTACTACTAGTGATTAGTCTGATTAGTGATTACTAGTGATTAGTGAATATAATTAAATATAATATATTTTATTTAAATATATATTTGTTTAAATATTAAATAAGTTTATTTAAGTCAATTTTTACAAAATATCACAGATAATTGATTTAAAATAACAATCAGTGATGAAAACAATTTAAAATAATAAAAATATCATGAAACTAACTTTAAATTAGGTGTTTGAGATAAATATTAGTAGATAAAAACAGCGGCCATCTTTCCAAATAAAATTTAGAGTAGTTTCCCTTGATACAAATGTCTATTCGTATGTATATTGTGTTGACTTTGTTGTTTAATATACATAGTTGTCTTGTTTAATAAAAGTAAGACAGAGGGCCATCTTCTTATCTTTAATTTCAATTGAAATGAAGGCTATGTATGTATGTCTATGTACATCCAAGATCTCAAAAACTTTCGGGAGGTCCATCATTTATTAAACCCTTTTGTACTGATGAACTTGTCAATTATTAGGTCGTCCATATTCTTCATAAATGACGTTGGACTCAAAATATGGGACGGGGTAAAAATATTTTTTAAATAATGATGAAGAATATATTCGTTTTCGTTAGAAATTGAGATTACGCGTTCGGGTATAGTAGAACTGCGATATGATATTAAATCATCATCTTGCTTTTAGTGACGATCGGGGGAAAGGGAATTCATCGGGAAAAGTATGACGTCATTTATGGACAGGACCGGCGCTACCTATAAGGCGAAATAGGCTGTCGCCTAGGGAGCTGTCCTTAGGCGGGGGGGGGGGGGGGGGGGGCGCCAAAATGGGTTGGAGAAACAAATTGAAAGTTTGAGGGGGGGTGCAAATCGTAAGCTTGTCCCCGGACGCCGGGAAGGGTCGCTACGCCTCTGATAATACGGGGCGTGAAAAAATTGCAGGGGGGGGGGGCGCTTTTATTAAGTTTTGCCTAGGGCGCTAAATAACCTGGCGCAGGCACTGTTTATGGGTGATCCATTTAAGCCTAGTTGTTTATTTTGTCTGGAGACATTAGTCTTAGGCCTACACTTTTTCTGAATTAAGATTATTGTGTTTATAAAAATAGTTTTAAATTTTAATTAGTTACATCTGAATACCACATGGGTTTTTTTTCTTTGCCTTCTGCTTTCATCAGTTTTTTTATTTGTTCAATAGTCGATGTTTACCCATCCCCACCATCCATTATTACAGAAACAAAAAACACCCACTATATAGTGATATCTCCCTATAGAAAAAAAACTAGATCAACCTATAGTTCGTAGGAAAATTAGAATCTATCACTCATTCGTCTGTTAAAAAAAAGAAATACGCCATTTTTCTCAATCCCGCCGTTTCATCCCCTACTTAGCACAACGTCACCAAGTTCGCGGCGCGCGTGACGTCATTTGTCATTAGGCTAATGTTAAAGAAAGAGATACCGCGTAATTAAAAAAAGTCAAAACAGGCACTATTGCGTTGAGACTTTAGCGACGTTTAGTCTGACGAATAGATCTAAATGACTTTAGTACGGTAAATTATATGTGTTGAATTTATAACAGTGGCATGCTGTTCTCCCTCTACTACACAAATTCACGTGATTTTAATTTCTGCAACCTGCTGCCCTGAGACGTTTGGCTCTAAAATGCCCATGACACAGCGGCCTCCGTAAATACATTTAGGCTCCTGGTCCCACTTATAAACTTCGTCTGCCCATTAAGCTCCCCGCAAAACTTGTGATTGATATGTGGACATAAGCGGCGCTAGTGGTGGTGTCAACAGGGACCCCCTCCCCAAGCTCAGCTGTTAAAGGTGCTCCGCACTTCATAAAAGACAAACTAGATGTTCAGACATCGTCGGACTCGGGCGTTTAGCCGACTGCCGTATTGCTAATGCACCGTCCACTGCTAACACTATTTCTATATTAAACTCAAGCCTATACTGAGCTCTGGCTTTTTACATTAGCTGCTGTCGTATTAAGGGTTGATCTTTTGTTATGCCCCATGTCGCAAAACTTGCTGTTTTGTCCAATTTTACCTGAAAGCCAATAATTGTCTTGGATTCTTGCCGAATAGCCAGGAGCTAGTTGGTTTGAGCCTTATTGTCAGAAGTTATTTCATTCGGAGTCAATGTAGTGCGGCCTATTTTCGTCGCTAGGCATTTAGTGGCAGGCCCTTTTTGGCGGGGATGGTGTGCTGAGGTTGTTTAACACCGCTTCGGACAACAGGCTTGCAATAGTTATGATCATTCGCTATGAGCAAAGGTATGCATGAAAACGAACGCTTTATGTTCCTCATTTTCATTGAGCATAGCTTTATAGAAGACTTCCATAATTGACGTCATAAAGTGCAGTCCTACATAAATTGACGTCACATTAGAATAGCATATGTGACATCGTTTATGGAAAACCCCATATTTCTCATTTAGGGTATTTGGTATCAACATTTTGACAACAAAGGTTGTTCAAAATGTGTATTGGAGGTTATGACTTGACATCTACCATAAATGACATCACGCACTTAAGGGGTGGAGTAACTGGTTTAGAGACGACGTTTTATGTGGGAAAGGGGAGGGGTAAGAAACGTGAAACGTTATCATCCGTTATGTATTTCGCCTAATACGAAAATGCTGAAAAAATTCTTTTTCGTTAGAATTATGGCTTGACTTTTTAACAGTAATAACAGACAGGGCAAAAAGGTAATTTTCGACATTACGACTATTTCATGACGGCGAAAATGGGGGGGGGGGGGGGTTAAGTAAGGTGAAGAGATGTCAAAAAACGTGACGTCATTTATGATTAAATCACTAATTATAGGAAAAAAGAGAAATGACTCAAAATAATATTTTCTTAAGATGGCCGATGTTTTTAATAGCAAATTTAGTATCTGGAACATCGTTGTTAAAACTTAATTTCATGACATTTTTATTGATTTAACCCTTAAATATATGGTTTAATATTCAATTATCTTTAGTATTTTAGTAGAATATGCAAAAATATATTCATATTTAAGCCATATTTATTAGTTACCTTATCCCTACATTACTAGTGACGACCGAATTGATTACGCTAAAACGATAGATTACCTCATAAACCTGTCTGTAGTAGACTATTCTAGTAGTTTTAATTTATGTACCAGCTTAATGGTTTATTTTTACTGCAGCTCTCTTTTCTTCGATTTCGCCTTGACACCGTCTGTTTATTTTTTTTTTTATTTTTTTTTTGAAGCCTAATTAATTGGAATTATTATAGAATAGTCCTTACAATCTTTTATAGACCTAGATCCTAGTAGTGTACATCTAGTATTACAGTAGTAATTAAGTATTAGATCTACTACAATACAGTAATATTATAATTTATAATACTAGTCTATAATTCTAATACTAGACTAAAATTTTAAAAAATAGTAAAATAGTCTAATCAATACACAGTCCTTGCCCTAAAGTTCAGCTAGATCTAGTTAAGTTTGGTTTGTTAGGGTGGATCCCGTCGTTAAATGACATCAGACATGCTGTATGCCAATCTAGTGAATGTACTATGTAGGTCATTGTTCTACTGTTTTTATTTACACTTTGTACTGCTAAAACATTCTGGAATAGTAGATCTAATAACTGATGCCATACTGGGAGATTCCCCACAACTGAACTGTTAAATTGGGTGTTTATTTTGCTTTTTAATTCTTAGTCCTACCAACTACTTAGCCGTAAAATTAAATCAGATTTTTTAATTTAAAAAATACTAAGCAACCTGTTAATTCAGTCTCTAATTATTGTAATTACCAATTAGGCCAAGGCTACTGTGGAGTTTGTATTTTAGCTATTAGAGTATCAAGAATTAGTTTTAGTCACTAAGTCATAGACAGTCAAAGTCATTAGTGTACTGTTAAAACCATTTCAAGGTATAATTCTCATTTTGTCATCTGATAGGCTTGTAAAGCAGAAAATACTTTATTAATATGAAATAAATTTTATATTCCACCCAAACATACATTGGTAGAAAAATTGATTCTTTTTCTTTCATTACATTAACAATGATCATTTTAATAAATGTTATTTAAAAAATTTCATGGAATAAAATTAATCGTAAAATTATTTGAACTTGCGAACTTTCTGCCGAACTGGTGTGAGTGAATGAGTGAACCAGTGCCATTTCTCACATATTTAAATTGAAAGGAAATTTTGCAGAAAGCATTTTGTAGGTTACCTAATTATTTTAATGATTGAACATAGTATCAAATTAAAGTATACAACATTATTTCAATCTCTTAAAAATAAATATACAGTGGTACTTTGAAATACAAGTTTAATTAGCTCTGTAACATTGCTCGTATGTTGAATGGCTCATATTTCAAGCCACCATTTTTCTCTGTTCTCCACCATACTCATTGCCTCTCTAAACTAACATAGGATTAGGATGTTGTCATTTACAACATCTCTTTTTAAAAATACTGTCCCTGTGAGATTTCTATTGACTTCCTATATCATCCATGGCTTGGATTTTATTTTTATGTTCTGCTGTCAGCATCCAAGATTTGCACAATAATTGTTTATTTTATAATGCAAAAATGTTGTATTATTCTGCAGAAACTTTAAATAGCTAAGTGTTATGATTTTTATTCCACAGAGAGTATATTGAAAGCAGCTATGTTAATTTGAAGGTGCAGAATCCAAAGTTTCCTTTCTTAGTTCGGGAGGCTGATAACATTCAACCCAAGATCTATGCACGTTATGGTGAGATTTTTGCATTTAGGGTCATCCTAAGCAAGCTATTTAAAACAACAAATAAAAATCCCTCCCAAATAACATAAATTATAATAATTAGCATATTTTTAAAAATATTGTAGAATGTGCTTATCCTGTGTTCACTGTCCTTAAGATTTTCCCCTAGCTTTGTCATATTAGTTACAAGTTTCACTGAATAGTGATCATTTTATTTTTATAGAATAGAAAATAAAATTGACACATAATTTACTTTCTAGTAATGTATTTAAATCTTAAACTTTCAGCGTTAGGAAAAGAGTCAAGCCTTCCACTGACAAATATGACGAAAGATCAGGTTGCCAGAGCTGTAGAAAGTTTGATTAGCCGAACTCATTAATTAGATATTTTGTACATATTCAATCCATGTTTAGTAATTTAGAGAAAAGAATTAAAATTTAAAGTTATTACATGCTATTGTGTTCACTGTATAAAAACTGTTTATTCTTTTCAAGTTGCATTGTGAAGTAAAGGTGACGAAAATTTAGGCAGGAAGATTCTTTAAATAAGATCTGCGTTACTTAGCATCTAAAACAAATAGCCATTTTAGTTTATAACTCTTTATTTACAAAAAAAAAACCAACAAATCTTGGCAAAGAATTTGATGATTAGTATCGTTTCTTTTTATAAATGTCTGGTCGCCAGTTGATGGGATGTGTTTCTTCAGTCTGGAAAATAATTTAAGTTTAATTAGTAAGCATTTAAAAATAGTTTTACAACTCCTAATGACTAGCAATACTACCAGCATAAAACTTTGTCATTTAAGAAACTAGCTCGTCATTCTGTGTAGTAAACTTACAGCAGTGTCATCTTCCTTGTAAATTTTGATGGTCTTGTCAGCCTCTCCAGTGATGAGTCTAGTACCACTGTGGTCAAAACAGAGGGAAAATATCCCAGCCTCAGAATGAATAGATCCAGGTTGGGCCGCAGCTTGGATACGCTGAAAGTTGTAGCCTGTCTTCCAGTCCCAGAAGAACATGCTGCCATTATCAGCTGTAATGTTAACGATAAAGTACATGCTGAGGATTGATACCACTTTCAGATTTTTATCTTATTTGTATAGAGAAACATGTCTGTGATATGTCACTTCAAATTTGCTAGTTCATAAAGAATTAGTTTATAGTGAACCAATGGACTATAAATAAAAATATGGTTTTAGATTTTTCAGATTTTTATCTTATAAATATAGAGAAACATGTCTGTGTTATGTCACTTCAAATTTGCTAGTTCATAAAGAATTGGTTTATAGTGAACCAATGGACTATAAATAAAAATATGGTTTAAGATTCAACTATGTGCGAACATCATTTAAACTAAAGTGGAACTATGGTGAACCAATGAACTATAAATAAAAAGAGAATAGGGTTTAAGATTCAACTGTGTGCAAACACCATTTTAACTAAAGTGGAACTTGTATTCATTAAAAAAAATTTTAATTATTTAATAGAAAAACATAATTTTTAAAGATTGAAGAGGTGTCTACGACTGACCTGCAGACACTAGAACACCATCTGAATTGCAAACCAGGCTGTTGACAATGGCATTGTGGCCAGACATGTTCTGTAAAAAGTTGCCATCTGGGAACTTCCACTGTTTGATGTTATCAGGAGAACCTGACGCAAAGGAATATCTGAAACACACATCAGCTCTTTAGTCTTGTGTGATCAAATTAAATTTGTTTATATGGTAACTCATAAGAGGAATCTTCTTCTTCGTTCTTAATTATTAGTGTTGAAGGGGATCGAGATTTATCTGCTAGTGGGTTTGAACTCGAGACTGTTCGAATATCGACTCGACCACGCCTCCAACACAATTAAGCGTTACGTGTCAACTGGTTTTGCGCCATTGAGGCCATTGACTCCGATTTCAGCCTGCTTTTCTTTTTGGATTTGCTTCCATAGCCTTTGTCCAACCAAGAACAAACTACAAGGCAGCAGTTGTTTAATTTTGGAGTTGTCTCTCCTAGAAGAGTGGCTGTCCCCCGCTAACGAGCCTCATCTGCCCGAGGGTTCGAACTCGAGACTTTTCGGTTTAGCAACCATGAGCTTTACCGACTCGACCACGCTTCCCTGAATGAAGTTGTTTCTTACAAAATAAATATATAGTCTCTGGTAAAAGATAAACTGTTGATAAACAACACACATTTTTTAATTGTAATGTTTCCTGATTGACAAAACAACTACCTAATACTAATACACTAATAATGCCTTACTTATGTTAAGGTTTTAATACATAACATTCACAAAATAAAATCAGAATACAATCTTTTTCATTAGCACTGGCTTGTAACTTGTAAGCTATAAACATTAGCTGAACACAACCTCTACACTAGGAATACAAGCACCAAAATACTTACTGGGTTGGGTGCAGTGCTAATGCCCTAACACTTTTTTTATGATTGGTCAAGGTGACTCTAGTTCTCCCCATTGCTAGGTCCCATAGTCTCACTGTGCAATCATGGCTACCTGATATAATCTTTTCAAGGGAGATAATTCAAGAGAAAATTATTGAAGTCATAAACAGATTTTAATTGTCCAATTTCATTTCAGTCAGTTATTTTTTGTAGATTGCATAGTATAAATAAAAAATGCCAATTGCAGTATTTTATATATAATTTATATATTAAAATCTGTATATTAACTTACTTAGAAAAACACAAACAAATCCATTTCTGAATATTTTGTAGTTTTTGTCTACTAATAAATTATCATAAAATACCTCTCCCAGTTCCCAGGGTTATTTGAAAACAAAAACATAGACAGCTTATAATCACAGGTGTATACTACAGTTAATACGAATGCATAAATAAGTAGAAGACAATAAACATAAAATAATAAACCTGTGGTTCGGCTGCTTGACATTTGACCTCAGCTACTGTGTTGGTGTGTCCAGTCATGGTATGGACACAGGCTTTAGTACGAATGTCCCAGATCTGATGATAGTAAAACACGCAAAAAATTAAATATTATATAAAAAATGGAGAAGTAAATGTAAAATTATCAGATATAATTTATCAAGAAATGTTGACAAAAATTGTACAGAGTGCAAAAAAAGTAAAATATTTTGTGTAAGGGAGAATAGTTTTTCAGATAAGAGCTGTGACAGGAAGGAAGAAATTATTAAACTATTCAGCTGAAGTCCATTTCTCTAGCTACATTATAGTACCTACAGCTTTAATTAAATTCAATATCTTAAAGGACAGGTTTTTAAATTTTTATATAGAATCTAATATTATTAAAATATTGTTTGGTTTAAACAAAAGGTTAAATCAACGTCTAAAATTACAACTAATATAGGTTAATGACACTCTACTACTGGTGAACATATGTACTCACTCTAACAGTGCCATCCCTGCCACAAGTTGTTAAAACATCAATTGTTGGGTGAAGATCAAGAGCATAGCATGCACTTAAATGTCCATGATAATGGCGAATAGTCTACAAGAAACATTTTAAGACACACCAGTCAATATTTTAAAAAACAAATTACCTGATAAAATTTTAACTGAACTATATGAATGTAATGTGAAAAATAAAAGAAATGCAGTTTTAATGTTGAATAAATTCCAAGTCAGACCTTGTTCTGTTCAAGATCCCAGCACTTGACCATTTTGTCCTCACCACAGGAGAAAAGATAGGGTTGTCTGGCACTTACAGCAACGCCTCGGACTGTACTTACATGGCCGGTTAAAGTCAGCTTTAATGTACCTGTGGCAAGATCCCATATCTGGAAGCACAACAGATTTTGTAAAACTTAAAATTTGTATTTTTTTTAAAATAAATCTATAAACAACAATAATGGCAATGTTTTTGTTCCTAAATCAGTACTGAATAACAGGAAAGTTAAGAAAAACATAAAATTACAATTTTAAAATTTCTTTAAAAAAAAAATCAAAAACATTTTCTACCTTAATGACCCTGTCACCGGCACCAGAGCAAAACCACTCGTTCCCTGGCTCTACTGCAAGACAACGAACCCAGCCTATGTGACCACTGATTACCTATGAAATTTAAAAAAATAAATAAATCTAATATTAGAAAAAACAATTTTCAGGAAGTAAATAAAAAAGCTTTTGATTACAGCAGTGAAATACAAGTGATTCTATGAATATTAATCTATTACATTATTTATTTCATGGGAGTATTAGAGAATAGACAGCATGATAAATAAACAATCATGAGCTATTGTTTTATTTATATCTTTATGGCTACGTAATTATGTTTTTGATGGCCCAACAAGTGACTTAAGGTATGTAAGCATGTTTTAGTTGTTTTAAAATATTGTCAAGATGTAAAAAATTGTTAAGTTAAAAGAGTAACATACCCTGTAAAGTTTCCAAGGTGGATGCCAGTTGGGTTTAGGCATTGTTGGTGCTTTCTTAGGTACCAGCATCTGTTGTTGACCAATTGTAACCGACACCAAAGCCTGTAAGAAATATTTAGTATAGGTGGACATGACATAATTTTCACACAATTAAAACTAATATACATTTCTTCAAAATAAAAAACGTCTTTGAAAAATAATTGTAGTTTAGTAGCTTAAATATGCGAAAAACAATTCTAATTTAAACTTTGTTTTGTGTTTTGGATCTTTCACTATTTCCATTGGTTATATACAAGGGATTTCGTTGTTTATTGGAATAAAGTCTACATTAATGAACACTCCATCTACTTACACGACTGTTTTGATCAGCTCTATCCAGCTCATGTGAGTGCCTATAAAAATGTAATACATCATCAAGTAAAAAGAGTAACATAGCATGTGTTGAAGGGATTTAATATCTATCATTTTGATTAAGACACAATTTAAAGTAAAAATATTACCTTCAGATAAGAATGTAAAAATATTTGTGTAGTAGGAATTTAGTTTAATTGTGTTTAAAATGTATCTTTATGTTGTAAAAAGTCAAAGAGACCAACTTCAAACGTGAATGTGTAGAGGTTATTGTTGAAGGAAGTATGGGCAATAAGTTTTTAATAACTATCCTTTCAGTTTTAGACTAAATTTTAAACAACGATGTCTTAATTTGTGTAATGTTGTTAAGCCAGCAAAAAACTCAACCACATTACATAAATAAAGAGCTCAATGTATACGATCCCGTTTATGGGTATCATTAGCGACCTTTTAAAGCACAATTGATAGCAACATACCTCATGTGATCACCATCACCTGAATGAAGACAAAGTAAAGGTTTAGAAAATTAAACATTTCCATTTAAAATTTGTTAGACATGTAACAATGTGTATCAATAGATAAATAAATATAAACACAAAAGTAGGTAGTTAACTTATTTCATAGTGTATAAATTTTAGTGTATTATGAAACAAAAAAATTTAGTAATACCTCCAAGTAAACCATTTGAAAGATCATTTCCTGTAGTAATAAAAAATTGAAACATTTTAGAATTCAAATTAAGAATCGCTTCCAACAAATAATTTTTTTAGTTACCCCATTTATAGTTCAAAGACAAAAATTATAGGTAGATGGTGTTTTATACAAGTTTATCAGCAAGTTTTTGTTTTTATTTATATATGTCTTCTGATCATGTTTATAAAAATTAAATTGTTCTTTAATTGAATTTAATACTTAGACCTGAATGTTGATAATTTCAACAAAGCTCAACACATATTACCCTGCTGTAGCTGTTTGGCTCTTGCTTCTCTCTTGGCTGCATCTTTTACAGGTCCATATTCATCCAGAACTTTTATTTGACGTTTTACTTGTTCACTTTTTAAGAGAAAACATTTGTTACATTAAAACACTCTCGACACAACGCAGGATAGCAATGTTTTATTGTTAAAATAAGTAAGTGACAACAATTTGCTTGACAAAAACACTGAGAAATTTATTTAAAATACAACCTAGTTAATGATCGTAAAATTAACTTCATTGTTGAAATATTAGCCAGATGGTGCAATACAGTTATGAATTAGATTTCATCCATTTATGTTTTTATATAGCCCAGCTTCCTAAATTTAACTAAGGTACCCACTATAGTTTAAAAGTTGGCTGGCTGACAGTAGCAGATTACTGAGCTAAAACACAAGCTATAATCCATGACTTCTCAAAAAGTTCTATCTATACGGCCTACTACTAACTTGACATAACTGAATTTTAGCCTAATTTAGTATAAATTTAAAAGTTACAAAATATACAAATACCTTTCTTCAAACTTCATTGGGGCATTGCCTTGGTCAGATAGAAACATATCGTGTGTCCTTTTAAGTGACCTAAAAACCAGTGTATGGACAGAGTGCTTTTGCACATCCTGAAATTACAATTAAGTAACAACATTAAATAATAGGTCAAATAATAATTAATAAGATGGAAAAATCTGTAGGCTAGAGAATTCAATAAACGCAGCCTAAATAAAAATAAATTATGGCCTATCCCATTTTCCGGACAGTGAATAGCCTAGATGCCTATTTCAATTCTGTAATCTTTTTATGTAATGTACAACTGGGAACAAATATCTTAAAATTATAAAGCAGTGTTTTTTTTTTAATTTTTGTATTTTATTATGCGGTTTTGAATGTAAAATATAAGAAGCTTAGCATATTAAAATTTAAAGTTCATTTTACTATTAGGTTTGTATATTATCAATTTGACAATTTTATGGATGCTAATTATGCACTAAGTTTGTAGCCAATGTAGGTTACAAAATTACAATGCCTTGAGCAATTTGGTGGGAGGGGATATTTTTGTGTCAGGTTCACTTTCCTTTCAGAAAGAAAGTGTTTAGTGTATTTCATTGTTGTTGTACTAGTACTAGCAACTAGATCTAGCTGCTAGCAGCTAGTCTAGCTACAAGCTAGGTTATGAATTTTGACATAATTCTAATAAGATTCAACTTATACTCTGCCAGAACAGCAGAATTAGATTTCTAGACTTTAAAAAAAATACACAGGGGCAACATCCGACATGGGATGTAATCTAATCTACATCTAGCTGTTTGTTTTAGTTATCGATAATTGGTCATTTTATATTTTGTCTTAATCTTAACATTGTACGGCGTCTTTAGATCTAGATCTAGATCTAGTAACACCTAAAATCTAATTATTTAGTACATTTGTTAGATCTATATAATAATGTCTGTAAAAAATAATACTAATTATAAGTATACGAACGTACTTCGGAAGGCATTGTTCAAGTTAATATATTAACTTTTCAACTTTCGGTACTGTCAAGTAAAACAAACAATCAGAACATGTAGAGTGTAGAGAAAGCTTGAACTCTTCAGAACTAAACTTAAAATTGTATGTAATAATGCGTCTAGTGGTTCTGCGATTTCGCTCTTTAGGTCTAGATCTAGATCTAGTCTACTTTCTTCTAGTCAATTCGAGCTGCAGTTGTAAGACTTACCTTCGGCAATAATATCGCAAATGCTGGTCTGCTAAATTAGATTTAATTTAAGCCACCAGAAAATGTTCAAGACAGTCCTATGTAGCCCTATCTCCATACCTAATGCTATATATCAACAGGGTTATTTAAGAAGTAGACGTATTCTCCGTAACTTTTGCCGTGCTCTTAAGAGTCAAAGTCAATTTCTACAAACTCAAGTCAATGTAATGGATATGTTTAAACAAATAGTGATGTTTTAACATGTATAATAAATATATTACTGTTTTTATGTTGTAGGATGCGAGTGGGTGGGTGGGGGTATGAAGAACCCACCTGCCTCACCATACAGCAGTGTTTCTTCCAGACTTTTTTCTCCGGGGGGGGGGGGGCACTTGAAATCTTCGGGGGGGGGGCGGTAAACTTTCTTCGGGGGGGCGGACACTGTTAAAAGTATATATTTTCTATATAAATTATATAAAATTTCATATCGTTCGGGGGGGCGGTAAAAATTTTTTCGGGGGGGCTTTGCCCCCCCCCCCGAAGAGATGCCTGGAAGAAACTCTGCCATACAGCCATACAGTGACAGCTATCGCGTGCTAAAAGTTAGTTTTTTTTGTGAGTGCTTGTTATGTTGTGGATCGGCAGGTTGAAACTGAAAATTTAATTGTGACTTATCATTTTAATAGTGGGATTGTGGGGGGGGGGGGGGGGGGTAGAGGGCGCTTGTTCTTTGTGATTAGTCGATTAGTCACATGAAATAAACTCTTGAATTTCTTTCTTTAGCAACATGAAAAAAAAAATGTATTTAGCCTACTAAATAGTTGTAAATTTCTTTAGTCGATGACTAGCCTTGTGAGGGAAATATTTCCTAAATCGTATTTTTGTACAATTTTTAGTTGCCACCCAAATCAACACGCACAGCGACCCTATTATATCGTAATAAGCACCTCTGTTTTCTATGAAAAAAAAACCACCACTACCCTATAACCTGTCATCACAAAACGCAAAAAAATAAATGACACTGTAAATTTGTTTTGCTTTTATAGCCTCTTAACAAACCAAATCTTATTTTCACAGTAGACTAGACTTAATTAGCCGAGTAATACCCAAAGGGAAATAACAAAACTAAATTGATTTTTACCAAAATTATTTGAATAGTTTCCCTTTGTAAGAAAACAAGTAATTAAAAAAGTCTAGTGACAATTTTAGCGCAATTTCCTTATGTTATCTAAAAATAGCTCTGTCGTAGCGTAAATCAAGAGCAGGGTTAGTAAAACCATTGGTTAGTTATTAAAACGTTTTTTATTAATTTTGTTTCGGTATTTTACATGTTTTATTTACAATAGAGTAACATGCCTAAAAACCATTGCGCGCCTAGCTACCGAACGTGATGTCGCAGCCATTGAACGTGATGGCGCAGCTATTGAACGTGATGACGCGTGTGGTGTGGTTGAATAAAATGCCTACTAATTCGGTCAAATTTTAATTAATTCAAAAAATTTTTTTGTGACCGAACGAAAGGATATTTTTGAAAACTTTCTTCTGCAATATTGTTCTAAATTATGGCAGGAATCAATTGGTACATATTTCAAGTCGCAAAGTGGTCTGGTTGCCGAGATATGGGCCAAAAACGGCATTTTTTCGAGGTTTTTTTACTTTTCCGGGAAATCCATGAAAGAAACTCGGAATTTTTATGGCCTATGTTCATCCTCGTAACTTGCTTAACAAAATTGCTTTGGAACTAGTCCTCGATATTGCTTCGTTGAGGAGGAGATACGACTTAAAGCTGCGGACACACATCCATCCATCTATTCATCCATCCATCCATTCCCAGAAATGACGAGTTAATAAACGCAATTCTCCAGAATGGAAATTGCGCTAAAAATATTTCTTAATTACAACTAGATTCTATTTTTAATTTTAATACCGACAATTTTAGGATAAGCGTATCAATGTAAGATGAAGTAAGGGTATTGCATAATCTGATTAAAATTTGTATCTATAGTTTATTATTATTAAATTTATTATTATTATTAAAGATATACTTCAATTTTTTACCGAACGTCTTGATTTTTCATCATTATTTTTTGGATGAATAAGTTACCACCACTGGCTTATGATACACTTAGTTTTTGCCTATACCATTACTTCCATTCATTATTTGTCACTACTGCCGTTAACTTTGGCTGGCTCCATCATATTCTTCCACTGCTTTTTCTTCCATACCAAAACCAAAAATGAACAGAAACAACAAATGACTGAAATGTTTTATAGGTAAAAAAAAAACAGAACTGCAAATATGGAACTACATAGCCAATGAACCCTACAAAGAGGGAAAAGGGGGATAGATAGAGGGGGGGCGCTTAAAGGTCCAGAATCCAAAAAAAGTATATAGTTGTTTAAATTTGAAAAGGTTGTATCCCTACATCTATCCCATGATTTCGATTTTTAAAATAAAGTAAATAAAGTTCCATTTTTTTTTAAAAATTACACTGTACAGTTGGGGCAACAAAAAATATGAAAAGATTGTAAAAATGATAAAAACAATGAAGCTGGTTCCAAATTGTCATTTCAGCTTGCGTTATGATCTCATTCATACATTTTCTGTTCTCTGTTTGAGGGTCTGTATCATTCAGTTCCACGAAATGGCACTCATGCACAAACACTGTATGTTCCATTCACCCAAATTGTTAATGTTGCCAGAGGCTTAGCGACCCTTGCCGGCGCCCGGGGACAAACTTTTCGATTTGCACGCACCCCCATCAAGATTTCGATTTGCACCCCCCCCCCCCCCTCAAACTTTTGTTTTGCGGCCCCCCCCCCCCTCAAACTTTCGATTTGCAACCCCCCTCAACCTTTCAATTTACTTTTCCAACCCATTTTGGCGCCCCATAAGGTCGGCGCCCGGGGACATATGTCCCTCCCCCGCCCCCCCCCCCCCCCCTCGCTACGCTACTGAATGTTGCTATAGACAGCCCAGCCATTGGAGATTAAGTAACTTTCAAGAAGAAGAATATGAGCAAGAATTATAGATTCCAAAGTTACTGCAGTTTGATTTGGGACCTCCAACAAGAAAACTATGATTTTCTGTCAACTCCTCCCAAAACCCAGTGACCCTCGTGCCTAGCACCACGATTATATTTTCTTATGCAGATACTTTGACTCATCTATTTCAACAATGATTGGATTGGTATAATCATCTTAACCTCCAATCTCAGTTGGCGTGGTCGAGTCGGTAAAAGCTCATGTTTGCTAAACCGAAAACTCTCGAGTTCGAACCCTCGGGCAGATGAGGCTCGTTAGCTGGGGACAGCCACTCTTCTTCCTTCATTCCTTCCTTCCTTATACGGAAAACCGGCTCAGAAGGTTGACTTCCATTAGCCAGGCAGGCCTCAGTGTAGCAAACTGCGACCACTGGAGTTTCCCACACATCGGTCGCTACTTCAGTCGGCTCTCACCGGGCTTTCCTTCCCCATCCACAAGACGCGGGACGTCGTCCTAACCGCCTGGTACCCAGCTTGATCGTGGGGGGCGTTCGGCCATTCTTTGAACCTAGCGCAGGGGTCGGCAACCTGCGGCTTGCGAGTCGCATGCGGCTCTTTTGATATCAAGATGCGGCTCTCCAGCTCCTTGAACAAATACTAATAATCTTAATAAAAAAATAAAATGTTTGAAATAAAAAAAAATGTTAGTGGCTCTTTAAAACCAGGGAAATTTTGAAAATTGTAACTTTTGGCTCTTCCGTTTGAAAAGGTTGCCGACCCCTGGCCTATATGATTTTGCATGGATTATTGACATTTATTAAAAATCATGATAGAAATTAAATGGTCGTTTAAAAACCAAATAGTTTTACGTTAAAGTAAAACTTCGCCAGCAAATAAGGCAATTACACTTTAGTATTTTAACGCCATAATACTTAATAAACATAGCAGTTTTCAATTTTCATTAGTAACAAGTAATAAATCAAGTGTTTAACATTTGTAAAAAGAGATATAAATAGCATGATAAAAATATATTTTGTATCTTTATTTTATTACAGATAATGATATATTTTGTAACTACAGAATACCTCTACATTTAAAATCTTTTGGAACAGTTTTAAGTTGTTTCCCTTGTTAAAAATGAAAGTCAAATGGGAAGTAACTTCCTAATAAAAAGTAGATGAATATCTATTAGGAAGTACTGGCTTATCAATACCAGGACTGGCGCTACATATAAGGCGAACTAGGCGGTTGCCTAGGGCGCAAACCCTAGGGGGGCGCAAAATGTGTAATCGCTATCTCGCGATGATGAAAATGCAACCCCACCTCCCTTATTTGGAAAGGTCGGCGCGCTTTTTACCAGTCACTTTGCCTAATTAATTTGGTGTCACATAATTGATGTAGAAAACGATTAAGTAAGTTCGTAATTTAAATTTAGAACATTTCAAAAGGTTATCTAATTTTAATAGGGTTTGTAAGTATCGTATTTTCAGACTGAATTAGCAATCTGTCTTGGTATATAGAGTTTTGTAATGACGGGGTGTTCAAAGTATTGTAGTGGTTTGGTAAGTTTTGATGAATCGTTTAGATTTGGGAGTAACAGCGGCAGGCTGTTACTGATATGGTTTCATAGATATACATTATCGAAATGTTAAAGTGTCATAATTTTTATTCGGCTGTTTTGTAGTTGAAGGTCTAATGGAATTTGATTAGTAATAGAGAAATGCGAATGCAGGTGATGAAGTATCGTAGTTCTGGAGTTCGGGAGTATTGATTATTGTGGCATTTAGGTATCGAATTATATTGAATGTTAAAGTGTAATAGTAGGTCCAGTGAAATTGGTGAAGTTGGTGTCGTAGTTTTGGAGCATCGAGTCTAGTTATTTTAAGTTATCGAAGTTTGATATTTGTTGTGAATGTAG